ATATTTTGCAAATCGTATGTAACGCAAATTGGAATATTCTTTAATAAATTAAAAATAAGTACTTACTATAACTTATATAAATATAGTCCAGAATAAGGTGGTCTGCATTAATGTTAGACATAACGCTTGATGACTTTACCTTCGCAGTCAGCCTGTAACATGGAGCTCGAAATGTTGATTTGTGTAAAAACACAAAATACACGGAATTTTATCCAAATAAATACATTTTAATTTTCCAATGTATAGCAAATGCGAAAACAGAAGAACTCGATAAGTAAAATGAATCATTTAGATTTGTTTAATTCACTAAGCACTAAACAATATCATGATAAGGTCGAATATTAAAGACCTAACCGAGCAACTTTGCTCGCTGATGGAACCGAAGAATTCTCGAGTGGCAACCGCGTACAAGAGGGCGCGGCGTGGGCAGACCTCCCACAAGATGGAATGATGATCTGGTGAAGACTGCGAGAATCCGCTGGATGCAAGCGGCGCAGGACAGATCGTTATGGCATTCTTTGGGGAAGTCTATGTTCAGCAGTGGACGTCTTTTAGCTGAAATGATGATGAAACGGAATGTTTTACTTATAGTAAACACTGTATACCTACATAGATGCCTATACGAATTGCCTTGCCTTATTTTGTATGTACTTCCTATTCACAACAATTAAGCCTATATTGTAAGATTATCCTAGGTGATAGTTGTATTTGGTTTTTATCTATATAGGATTGGATTGATTTATTCCATAGTATTACGTATGTGCAAATACACGTAGTTTTACAATATCATAGGAAGATGACGCAATTTATAATTTTCGACTTCATTTCAAAACAAAATCCTTGGCGTTACTACAAAAAAATTTAATTAAAAAATCTGCTACATTAACATACCACTTGTCGATCCTAAGCTACAAATAAACTACAATACTATTAATAAATTTGGCAAGGAAGCCGAGTAATTTCCGTAAATACACGCGACTATTGAGACTGACAAAGGTTTAACAACCATATATCCTGCGATAGGGAAATTTAATCGCGTTAAACTGAAACACTGTTTACATTATGAGAATTTAATGAAAGATGTGCTACGAGTCGCTCCGGACATTTCTTGTTTTTCGTATATCATTCTTCATTTCTCACATTCTTCGTTATCAGAGATTCTTGTCATATTGCATTTTGTATGGCTTTGTTTCACTTGATGAGTTTCTCTCTCTAAATTAATTAGAATACTCTTTTAGATTTAACCTACTTTATTTACATCAATTTGGACGTACTTAAACAAATGTTTCACTCCTTGTAGGACCCTAAAAATTTGGAATCCTATTTGCAATAATTATTCATATACGCATGTGGAGGAAGTATTTGTGAGGATTTGTTCACGTAGTCATAAACTTGTCCATTTATTTAAAAGCGATTATTTACCTGTATGCCAGCGTGGTTAGTCAGAGGAGCTCAGGAGGCGTAGCCTGCTCGTATAAATAGATCTTCACGCAACACCATCAACACTGTTCAACAGAAATCGCAACAATGCACACTGTAAGTAGTTGCTGCTCTTAACTCTGTGTAATTATTTTTTGTTTTTCTTCTGACTGTATTGATTTTAATACATAGTTGTGAAGGATTTTTAATGTTTTTGAAATAAATTGTACAGAATGAAACTGCTATGTTGAAATGGAAGTTAACCTTTTACGATATAATCTAAATAAATAATAATTATTATAATTTCATTACAGCAAAAAATAAGAGAAACTCCTCCTTTTTTGAAGTCAGTTAAAAATTCCCTAATAATGAATTTATTATTATTCTTACTATAATTCCATTTATACTACATTAAAGATTTTCATATACAAACAAAACTTTCTGGTCCCACAGGCAGTTACTCTAGCATTCCTCTTCTGCCTGGTGGCAGCATATGCCTCGGCGTTGCCAGCTGAGCCTCTCAACAATGATAACGTGAAAGAAGTTGCACCAGTAGCTGTCATCGAAGATCAAGAAGTCCTCCAAGGAGAAGAGTCCCGCTGGGGACACGGTGGTTACCATCATAAGCATCACGGGTACCACCACGGGCACCACCATGGGCACCATGGGCACCACGGGTACCACCATGGTGGACACCATTGGCACCACCGTGGCGGCTACCATAAACACGGCTAGGGATGAAAATAACCACATAAGTAATCCTGATGTCTCATCTCTGAGTAAAATGCTATCGACATACTGGTGTAACCTAATTTTTTTAATGTTAATGAACAAAATTCGAACGTGAATTTAATCTGTGATGATATTTAATAAAATTGTTAGACTATATAATATTTATGTATTTTCTTTACTAAGCACCCTTAAGTTAAAATAAGATTGTCTTTTTCTTAATGTATACATATGCATTACTCAGAACATATCAATTTCCATCTTTCTTGTATTGTTTCAAAAACCTTCAATTTCACAATTGGCATTGCAATCATCAAAAGTATTTTGTTCACTAGAAAATATTAATTCAAAATTCGTATCAAGTAAATATAATTACTATGTTTTCAACTAGCTATTGAGAAAACCGGGAATAATACCAAGTTGGATAAGTGGTTAAATGACTCAACGAAAAGTGCATACCAAGTATGAGAACTGTTTACCTACACTACTTGTATCTACCTAAACTATTTTACTACTAGAATCATCTTCTGTTGCGTGAGATTTTTAAAACAAACTTTGGCTTCGAATGAGCAAAGCTAACCAACTTTTTCGTATTTACAAAACGAACTTAAGTCTAAACAAGAAATTAAATTAAACTTTGAGGTTTATCAAAATTTATTTGTATCTTTGCATAGTCGAATTCAATCAATATGGCAAAATTTGCCCATGAAAATGATTATATATTGTATTGAATTTGGAATTTCTAAAGTTACGCTGTGTAGTTTAACCTCTGCTTTTCGATTCAGAGGAAATTTACGCTATAATAATTTTATTTTTATTTTTTAACAGTTTGAGCGCGTAAAGTGACACTTCCGGCCTTAGAGCGTCCGAAAGCAATTTCTTTTTAAATTTCGTAATTTATTTTTAAATTACTATAAATTAGACAATTTACTAATAGCAAGGTACTTGTAATATTAAGTTTTTTGAATATCACGATGTTTTACTGCCATGATATTAAATTATTCTTTGCCAAATTACTGTACTAGTTTGTTATACATAATTATTAATACGTTATAGTTACAATTATTAATAATTATCACAAGCAAGGTACTTTTTGTGTTTAGAATGAGATATGAATATATATATATACAATATGTATATAATATATATAATATGTATATTATACAAATAACATACTAAAGAATTTGCTAAATTGATACAAATTGTAAATTATACGTACAAAACTGTAGGTTTTAAATTTTTATTCATAAAAAACATATTGTAAGGTGTATGTGTTCGCATCGTGTTCTTTTAATTACGTTTCAATTAGTAACCTTTATGTCTGTGTAACTACGAAAACTAATATTTTCAAATTACTATTCTACGAAGAGACTGTGTTGAAGGAAATTTACGTAAAAATATTACGAAACACTGTTACTGACTGGTTTGTATGTTTGTAATGCATATAAAAATAAGTATTACAAGTTTACTATAGATAAATTTATTATGGAGTAAACAGAGTGCAACACAACTTGCAAAAAACAGTCTCTTACCGCTGAAATCTAGAGACAAGAGACAAATACATATATATCATCATCATGATATCAGCCGGATGACGTGCACTGCTGAACATAGGCCTCCCCCATAGATTATATCTATGGCCTCCCCCAACGATTTCCAGATACATTATTTATCGAGAATTGAGGATTGATCAATATGGAAAAGCCAGAAAACAAAATTGGTTTGAAAAACGTCGTTAGTTATATTATATACAGGGCTGGGCAGTATTGAATTACTTGTAATTGAAATACGTATTTAAAATACAAATACGTATCTTGTATTTGTATTTCAATTACTCCCTAAAAATGTATTTTGTAATTGATATTTCAAATACTTTCGTTGTAAAATACATTTCAACAAAATACTTTTTTGTCAACAAAAAATATTTTAATGTAAGTAAGTACTGACTATTAAGTGACAATTCTGCTACGCGAGAAGTATTTACCGTACAGTATTTACCGGCGCAGCATTATTGACGTTTGGAACTGATACTCCGTGCCCCGGCCTATTATGTTGCCCTATTATTATAGGTGTAAAGTATTTTGTAATATATTAGATACGTGTATAAGTATATTATAAGCTATATTTTGGATCATACAGTAACGTCTACCAGCAAAATTAAAGTCTCTTCTCCGTCCTTTGCTTTGTCGGTCCTTTTTTTGTGACAATCTTTTGTGTGTAATAAAAAAAATCTAGCGTTCAAATATCATTGGTTGACAAGAACAAATAATCTAACGGTGGCCGCGACTGGCCTCTATTGCTTGTACCTACGCAAAAAGGAACCGTTAAGGTGGTCTAAACTTTGTTGACAGTAATTATGCGTCAATTGATGTTTCACGGCAAATATTCATTTTATTTTCTTACTTCAAAATTCCTTAGGAAGTCAATCTATTTTATTTTCATAATATACAGGTAAGGTACAATAAAAGCTTAAATACTAGAAAGTAAAACTAGGTTTAAATCATATGAATAAAATTGGGTCCCCGCGGCAAGGTGCCCAAGTGGCTGGCAGCGTCCCTCCTTTGTATGCTAATGCCTATACTAATGGTAGCTACCTTGCCCAACGCAAGGTAGCTACCTTGCAACCGGCAGCTGCCGGTATTGGGTTTCCCAGATAGATTAATTTTTTGGATAACATTTTGTACATACACACATCAAAAAAAGTTTGCGATCACTTCGAAAAACTGAAATCTTTTTTTATACTGTAGATTATATTATGATTTTTTCTTCTTTTTAGATTCTTTATTTAAAAATAAATTAGAACATAAAACAATGACCCCGTTCAATTGTTTTTTCATATAAAAAGGCTTTCAGTCCTAGCTTACGCTCATTCAGAAATCTGATTTAGTCAATTATAAGCGATTCAAGATATTTTTCGCGGAAAGTTGTAATTGAAAAAATGCCAAGAGGATTATCAGAGATTTTACGAGCTAGAATAGTAACTTTGAGGGAAGAAGGATACACCACGAGAGTAATAGCACGCAGACTTGCTATATCCCAATCCTGTGTCGTGGCTACGTTGCAGAGGTATCACGGAATGGGGAATTTAGCTGACCGACCCCGCAGCAGTCGCCTAACTGTTTTGACAGCTGCCCAAAAGCGCTATATTAGATTGCTGTCAGCCCGTGATCCAACAATCAACGCCACTAAAATAAAAGCAGAAGTCAGGGCCGCCTCTGGGCTTGATGTTAGCACGCAGACCTTTCGCAATTGCTTGCACCAGGTTGGATTACGAGCACGGAGGAATTGGCGAGCTCCGCTCAATTCCTCAACAACGAAGATTGCAGTGGGCTAGACTTCGGCAAAATGAAGAAGGTGAGGACGAAAACATTTGGCAAAACTGTCTCTTCGTTGACGAATCCCGAATCAGCACTCATCCAAATAACCGACGTGTCCGTGTCTGGAGAAGACCAGGCGACCGTGAAAGACAAAGAACTGCCACTGGAACAGTTCAGCAAGGCGGAAAATCGGTGTCCTTTTGGGGTGGCATTATGATTGGAGCTAGAACGCCTTTGATCCCGTATCGGGGCTACATGTACAAAGCAGTTGCTATTGATGATATCGTCAGACCATTCCGAGTAAACCATGGGCACCAATTTGTACTGGTCGATGATAATGCGCCCGCACATCGAGCTCAACGAGTCAATGCTGCTCTTCAAGAATACGATATCACACGATTAGACTGGCCTGCCGGCTCGCCCGACTTAAACCCAATAGAGCACGCGTGGGATGCTCTTAAACGAGCAGTATGGAACCGTGAGCCACGTCCCCAGACACTTCCAGAGCTCAGGGAAGCCGCTATTGAAGAATGGGATAGGTTACCCCAGGAAATGCTGGATAACTTGATCCTCAGCATGCCCAGGAGGATCTTCGCATGTATTCGAGCCAGGGGAGGAGTTATTTTATATTGAATTCACACCTTTTAATAATAAATTGTTGTTTAAGTTTAATTAAACAGTCTTTTTCTTTCTATGAAATTTCTATCACTATTACATTATGATTATTGGCTCAATTTTTTAAAATAAATAAAAAAAAAATAGTTTTATATTTTAATTTCAAACAGGGTATTCCTATTTAAAGAAAGCATACAACATAGATTTTTTCTTGATAAAGTTAAATTTAAAGAATTATAGGAGCTTATGCTATTGATCGCAAACTTTTTTTGATGTGTGTATGAAGGGCACCGGGACCCCACGGCCCAAAGGTTTCGACTACGAAGGCTGTAAATAGGTAGATTCCTTAGGTGTTTCTTAGTTTTAAGGAAAAGATATAAGCTTACTACTTATACAAATTCCACTTTTGAAAAAATTGGGGTGCACGAAGAATGCCGCCCGCACGCCGCGCCGCCCTGTACGTCTAGCGCTCGCGCTGGGCAACAATCGGCAAGTTGTACCTTATGTCGATTGACAAATCCTTTCACCACAATGTCAAGCATATAGGTAGTATATGCTATCGATATAAGAAGAAGACAAATTCCTCAAAGGAATAATATGGCACGATACAGATTTTTTTAAGATAATATGGTAATGAAATTTAATTTTTCCTTTACTTTTTACGATTAATCATTGTACCTAAATGATGTTCGTTATACACACATACACAGTAACTGCATAGTGAGTTTGAATAAAGTTTGTTGGCTGTTAGACTGAATGAACATGGAATAATTTAATTAACGACCTCAAATAATTTCAAACAACAAAATGAAAATATAGACAGCTTGTCTGTGTCCATACCAAATTTTGTCTTCCCCTTGCTTTAGTTTGCAAAAAAAACACTATCAAAAACGACTCACGCAATGTTACAACGTTTTTCCTCAACACGCCTGAGATCCGATAACAACACCGTAGAAAAGATTTAAGATAATAACAATGATATTAAACAACAAAAAAACAAACTATACAACGTTTAAATACTATTCTATAAAGGCCTATATTTTCAACGCAAAAATATAATAATCACAAAATTAAATACGTATATTAACAAACAGGACTGACGAGTCGATTTTGTTTTGGGTTTTCCTTGAGAAGAGTGGGGAAGATTCTATAAAAAATTGTTGTCTACCTGTGATAAAATTTTCTTTTAAGAATTTACAATTAACTTTGATATTGCCTTTCCCAAAAGACCT